CTAGCTTGGCTCGTTTGTCCTCTCGCTTTAATGCCTCCAGCGCCTCACTGGGAATGGAGGACGAGGACACTAATCCCACAATGGGTTCATCTACCTCAGAAGTATTCAACAATTTTAAGAAATCTGGGGCCAAATTAAAGAATTTCCTGTTGTAACCAGTAGGGGCCGGGTACACTGCTGCAGAAGCCCACTGTTTCTGTACCAGACCTGTAAACATGTGAGAGACTAGAATCATGTCTGCCTCAACTACAGGTTGGATGAAAATGAGATCCTCTGGTCCCTTGTCTGATGGAGTTGGAGTGGTAGAAGGGGCCAGCTTGTCCAGTCGCACAGTATTTTTGGCCTTGAACAATAGAGATTTGAAAAGTTGTGGCCGGAACAAGCCTGTAAATACAGGTTGGTCAGGAACGAGGCCCTCATCCTCAGACATCCCCCTTTCTAAGGGGTCTGCTTCCGACATGGCAGGGTCAGTATCATGCATTGATTCTGATTCACGCTGGTCCATGTGCTCAATGTGTTCCACCTCTTCTGCCTCCTCCTCCTGCTCCTCCTCCTGCAGCTCCTGTAGGAGCATACCCCTTGACATTGTACCTGGGTATAATGTAGCTCTGACCTGGCCAATGACCGAACGGATTGCAAATCATACTCAGCGGGTGCAGGATGATCCCTGGTTAGAACTGCATGTTGCAGGCCTGCTGCGATTCCCTGATGGATAGCCATCTCCATCCAGGTCTTCATTCACTCTGGCACATCATCTGGAAGAGATTGTTCCTGTCAAAGACCGGCAGCCGTTGATGTGAATGTCGCTTCGGGTATTCTTCGCATGGTTGGTGATTGAGCTGACTGGGCCTGTTGACTCAGGGGAGCCACACTGCGCCTGGGTGAGAGGGAGAAATCTAGGGGGATAGGAGGGAGGAAAGAGGACAGCTCTGGACTGTGGGGTGAGAAGGCTTGAGAGGTTCTGTGTGCCTCTCGTGTGTACTTATCTATTTGTTTTTCCAGTGCCTTGTGGTGCCTGGTGGCATCCTTTTGTGATGCCTTAGAAATCCCCCCCCCCTTTTTTTTGCTTAGGATTGTGTTGAGATTTGGACTTGCCCCTTGAAGTTGAGGAGTGTGAACCACTACCCCCTGCCATTGTGATTGTGGAAGGACCAGTACGCTCATTATTTCATGCTATATTGTGTAGGCGGTTGGCGCACCCAGGGACCTGGCCAAGAATGGTCAGGGTGCCCTAAAATCAAACCCCCCATTTTTTTTGTCTTTGTTTTTTTTAAAAAAAATAAATGGATATCTGCTTCAAAATTGAGTCGTATCTCAACAAATAATTTATTATTGTTATGAAATTGCCAGTATTATTATATTGGTATGATTAATATTAACAGAGCATATGGGTATGCAAATATATATCAAATTTGGATGTCCCAATCAGCTAAATTGAGAATGCCTAGCAGGCCAAATTATCACTCACAGGCCTTCAACAGCTTCCCTGCATAGGCGGATGCTGGCCTAGGTGCTCGCTGTTGTGCCGCTGGATAGAGAGAACTGTGAGGGTTGAGCCAACAACACGAATTAACAAAAGCCTCGAATATGTTGGAAACAAGGTTGTAATGATTCCTCAGGGTATTTTGTGTAAAAAAAAAAACCTTCAATCTGGAATAAGGATTACCCCACACAGTCTGTTGAATTAGTGGCCACGCGGTCTCTTTACAGTAAAAAAAAAATGGGGACTGGACGTTATTTGTGGTGCGCATGCCAGCAGCAATCTCCCACCGAGAAAAAGAGATAAGTTCCAACAGTCATCTCTTAGGCTAAACCAGCAGGGAGGGACGAAATAACGAGGTGATTATACCTCTACCCCTAAACAAAGTTCTTGGGGGGAAAAAGAAACTGCGATACGACTCAGGAGAGAGAGAGAGAGAAAAAAAGCCTTGCCGTTTAAATGATAAAGTGGCTCGGTGATTGTAATGGCAAGGGTAGGGCTAGCAGTTGGGGGGTGCGAAATGAAATCAAAGCCTCCCTGCACTTAGGAGTGCAAAGAGTGCTTCCTGATAATGCGATCCCCAACAGCCAGATGGCAAGGGCAGTGTCGGTAAGACAGGAATAATTGACTATCTGCAAACCTTAAAGAGAATTATCCTGTTTCGGCCAAGGATTAATGAGAAGCACTGCCTATCTCTCACAAGGCTGAGCCAAAAACTGGGGAACGCTGGGGAGGAGTCCCGTGGAGGAGGAGGAGCATTCCACAAATTAAGCCCAGCCTAGATAAGCAGAGACTGGAGCACCTCCCGCTACTGGATGCTCTGAGCAGCTTGTGGGAGAAATTCTGGTTCTAAGTTGGCAAAGCAGAGTTGGCAAATTGAGTATTCTTCCCTTATGTATTGAACATAGATGCTGAGTATATATTAAAGAAAACTGGATTAGAAGAAGATGAGTGTAGATTTAAAACTGGAGAAAGAAACATCAATAATCTTACTTCGCTGGTGACATCCCTTCGATAATTGAAAATGCAAAGGATTTGCAAGATCTAGTTAAAAAGTCCAGGCACAAAGTTTAAAAAAAGGAACATTAAATAAAAAGATGTACAATAACTAGACTTCGAACTTATAATAAAGATACTGAAGAAATGTATAGCTTTTACTTTTTAGGATTAGACATCAACCAGCAGTCAATAAATATGCTGCAGACTAACACTTCATGGCCACAAAGACCTTGGAAAAGATACTCAAGTTCCATGACGTATCAATACCTGCAAAGATCAGAACTAAGCAGACAATGGTATTCCTGGTAGAATTGATATTTGGAATATGATGAAGCAAGATAGAGAGAGAGTTTTTAAATTTGAGGATGGAGAAGATTCTAAGAATTGTATGAACGCTCAAGAATGGATCATTAAAGAAATCAATTTAGAGTTTTCTTTTGGGACATAAATGACCATTCTCATATTATCCTGCTTCAGACACATTATGTGAGGACTGAACTCTCTGGAAAAGGCTTCACTGATGGAAAAGCTGAAAGAAAAGAGACAAAAAGAATGACTAGCAGCAAGATGAATGCACTAAATTATAGTGGCAATGGGTGCACATTTGGAAGACATGAAGGACCAAGTTACGGACAGATCATCATTAAGAAAATCTAATGTAAGCATTAGACAATGACAATAATCAGTGGATCACATAGGTAATAGAGACTCTCCCTGGACACTCTTCCTAATTTCTTCAGAAGGCACTATTTCAAACAAAGAAACAAAGTTCCTATGTATTGTTTTTCTGTCCAGGGTTCCTCTTTCATCCCCTTGATTAGAGTTGCACATCAGGGAAGAAAGAAGGAAGGGTGTGTTGAATTCTTAAGTCTTAAGCTTCTTTGTATGGGTTCTTTCAGTAAGATGAGAGCTAAACTTAAGGGAAGCTTTGTTCAATATGGTTCCTCTGAAGCTAGACAATTTTTATTTTAGCTTTTTTAAGTATTAGTGCTACTTCTTCATATCCTTCTGGAGGCATTTCTCTAACTTACTCCCCATTTCCTCTTCCAGCTCTATTTCTTTACTCGTAGCCTGTATTCCATAAATAGATAATGCCTGACTACCTTCTTTTCCTTTTTCAATTTCTTTTCCTTTATTTTCTCCTGCCTTTTGAAATCCTCATATCTTTTTTTTATCTCCTACTCTTCATCTGTAACTCTTATTTGAGTCTTGCTAAAGCAAGACTTGCTCTTTAGATGTCGTTGAAGTACAACCCTTTTCATTCTTGGCTATTTGTCATGTTGAAAGGACATGATGAGTTTTGAAATCTGATATCTGGAGGGTGGCAGATTTCTTAGCCCAAGTATAATCCATATACTCAAGGCAATTGCCTGTCATGTTGCTTAAAAAGTATCTACAGTTTTGTCAACAATTGGTTTCATTTCTTCAAACTTTGAACTGCTCTGTTTGAAAACCTCTTGTTCAACATTGGTTTTCCACATATTCAAGAAACGTATGATCAGAACGCTTTTCAGGAACTTGAAAATAGCTAAGTAATTGTTTAGAACCTGTCTCAGAATGAGCAGCACAGTATTTCTATGTTTCTATTCGGGAGGAAAAATACTGACTTCACTTCATGAAGCTTTCTCTTCATGAAAGTATATATAATTTAGGAGCCGTGGTTAGAATGTACTATTGCAATCATCTTCAAAGTAAACTGAAATATCTAATGGGGTGCTATAACATCCAGTACTGCACCTGGATTATCAAACATAGTTTCAGATTATCATAGAAATAACAGTATAATCTATATTTGCCATATTCAGCCTACAGTAAGTGATATGTCCAACTCTTGCTCACATTAAAAAGAAATTCAGAGAAAGTTCAGAATTGATGCAGAAAGAGCAATGAGAATGATAAGGGACTGAAAATTAATATTTTGAAGAAAAATTACAGAAACTAAGTATGTTGAGAAAAGATGACTGGGAGAAAAATATGATAGCAATTTTCAAAGTACTGAAGGGATATTGAACAGAAAGCCAAAATCTATCTGTTATATCAGAGCACAAGATACAATACGCTGCTCTTAAATTACAGCAAAACAAATTGTGACACAATTGTTGGAACATATTCTAAGAGTAAAAACATTTGACAATGAGGATAGAGAGGGATTTCTGTAGCCAGATTCAATTCTATGATTTTCAGAAGAAGCCACTCACCTACAGCTGGTTAAAATGAGATGCCTTGCTTACCTTTTTCTTTTCTTTTCTTTTCTTTCTTTCTTACATAACTTTGCAGCTTATAAATCTGGTAGCTTTACTGATGTGTAAAACTGGTACAAAAACTCAAACCAAATACATTGCTGTAAATATTTCAAATAAAGTATACAATATCTTGAATGCATACTTCATTTAGTTTTCCACATCTGTATACAAGTTGTTAATTATTAGTTTGTGTTTAAGTCATCCACGTTTTTTCCAATGTAAAGACACTGCTAAATCACAATTTAAATAATGACACAAAAGACAATTATTTACTCATCAACCTGTCAAATACTACAATATTTCATTTAAAATACACACAAGAACCTAATTATTTAAACTGAGCAAATACTCACATTACTCTGGTGTTTACTAATTTCCATGGCATGCTTAACATCTGGAAGTTCCTTCATCTGTGCATAATTTGATTTTCCTTTCTCGGCATCATATTTTTTCTTGTAAAGAACCTAAAAATGATAAATATTATTAGCATGTATACAGAAATCAAGGTAGAATATAGCCCAGGGTTTACCTACTATTGGGATAAGGGGAAAAACTTTTATACATTCATTTTATAAATCTCCAGAGTTTTACTGTCAAACCCCTAGCTATTTTAAAAGTTTCATAAACTCAGAATATAAATTTTTAGTTTTAAACTTTAATCCTGACAATATGTGATAATTAAAACTGAGAAGCGCATGTAACTGTATGCTTGTTAGAAACAAACTCTGCTGTGGCCTACATTTTAAATGAGGAGAGAACACGTACAGGTGAAACTTGAAAAATTAGAATATCATGCAAAAGTTCATTTATTTCAGTAATGCAACTTAAAAGGTGAAACTAATATATGTAATAGATTCCTTACATGCAAAGCAAGATAGTTCAAGCCATGATGTGTCATAATTGAGATGATTATGGCTTACAGCTCATGAAAACCCCAAATCCACAATCTCAGAAAATTAGAATATTGTGAAAAGGTTCAATATTCTAGGCTCAAAGTGTCCCACTCTAATCAGCTAATTAAGCCATAACACCTGCAAAGGGTTCCTGAGCCTTTAAATGGTCTCTCAGTCTGGTTCAGTAGGAATCACAATCATGGGAAAGACTGCTGTCCTGACAGTTGTGCAGAAAACCATCATTGACACCCTCCATAAGGAGGGAAAGCCTCAAAGGTAATTGCAAAAGAAGTTGGATGTTCCCAAAGTGCTGTATCAAAGCACATTAATAGAAAGTTGTGTGGAAGAAAAAGGTGCACAAGCAGCAGGGATGACCCCAGCCTGGAGAGGATTGTCAGGAAAAAGCCATGCAAAAGTGTTGGGGACTTTCACAAGGAGTGGACTGAGGCTGGAGTCAGTGCATCAAGAGCCACCACACACAGACAGATCCTGGACATGGGCTTCAAATGTCGTATTCCTCTTGCCAAGCTGCTGTTAAGATGCTCCTGAACAACAAATAACGTCAGAAGCATCTTAACTGGGCCAAAGAAAAACAGAACTGGTCTGTTGCTCAATGGTCCAAAGTCCTCTTTTCTGATGAGAGCAACTTTTGTATCTCATTTGGAAACCAAGGACCCAGAGTCTGGAGGAAGAATGGAGAGGCACACACTGCAAGATTGAAGTCCAGTATGAAGTTTCCACAGTCTGTGTTGATTTGGGGAGCCATGTCATCTGCTGGTGTTGGTCCACTGTGCTTCATTAAGTCCAGGGTCAATGCAGCCGTCTGCCGGGAGATTTTGGAACACTTCATGCATCCTTCCGCAGATGAGCTTTATGGGGATGCTGACTTCATCTACCAGCACCTGCCCACACTGCCAAAAGCACCAAACCCTGGTTCAATGACCGTGGAATTACTGTGCTTGATTGGCTAGCAAAGTCGCCTGACCTGAACTGCATAGAGAATCTATGGGGCGTTGCCAAGAGAAAGATGAGAGACATGAGACCGAACAATGCAGAGAGCTGCAGGCCGCTTTTGAAGCATCCTGGTCTTCCATAACACCTCAGCAGTGCCACAGGCTGATAGCTTCCATGCCACGCCAATTGAGACAGTAATTGCTGCAAAAGGGGCCCAAACCAAGTACTGACTACATATGCATGCTTCTACTTTTCAGAGGTCCAATATTGTTCTATGTACAATCCTTGTTTTATTGATTGCATGTAATATTCTAATTTTCTGAGATTGTGCATTTAGGGTTTTCATGAGCTGTAAGCCATTATCATTACAATTATGCCAAATCATGGCTTGAACTATGTTGCTTTGCATGTAATGAGTCTATCTCATATATTAGTTTCATCTTTTAAGTCGAATTACTGAAATAAATGAACTTTTGCATGATATTCTAATTTTTCAAGTATCACCTGTATACTTATTATATAGGATTCTCCACTATTACTTAATTTTGGTTTAAGCAACATACATTTGTTAACATGGTTTTGGGGAAAGCAATTGGATGTTAAAATGTTATGTCAATCTGATATTGAATTATAAGAAAATCTGATTCAATGAACCATTTGGATGAAAGAAATCTCCATTAAATCTAAAAATCCTTTCTATTGTTCTGTTCCTTTCCAGAGGCTAATTATAAGACAGCTCTATAAAGTCATCATAAGACTACTGAAGGATCTTTTTTTCAAACTTTATCAACAGGGAAACGCTGATTGAGGCAAGAACCTGCATGGGAGAAGGTGTCACAGTACATTCAAAAGAGTTTTTGCTCATCCAATCAATCTTCTGAACATCATGAATTCTACTAAGTATTCTACTCCCAGTGTACTGCCTACCCAATCAAGCTTTTGAAAACCTTCCAGCCTGTATCCTTCAACTCCATTGACTTACCTACCAGTCATTATCTTCAATATAATGGAAGAACTGAAAAATATTATTTGTATAGTTAATACTGTATTTAAAAAGTGAGCTATTTTCTATAAGATGGTATATTCTGGGAGTTTTCCCTTTCCCTTTTCTCCAATTTTTTATTTATAGTTTATTATTATTTTGTTTCTTATTAAAGAAAACAAATATTTATGAACAGAAGACTTACTTTTTACTAATCTAAAACTTTAATGCAATCAAATAATGTGAGTAAATCTGCACTGAACTATATTAGTTAATTTAAATTCAATTGATTCTCAAGTTGTTTTGTTCAACTTGCACATATATAAGGAATCTATAGGTATTAAGTTTGGGCTAGGTATAATTAAGCAATGGATGGGATCAAATCAGTGGTGGCATGCTACCGGTTTGGACCGGTTCAGCTCAACCAGTAGGAAAAAAAAGTTGCCGATCAGCTGAAAAGAGGGAAAAAATCCTCAGTGGGAGGAAAAAGAAGAGAAAAATGCAGGATCAGCCCTCCCAACTGCCCCTGTGCTTTTCTCTTCTTTATCCGCTCAGCTGCAGGTCTCAGCTGGTGTCGGGAACACTGCGCGCCAGCATTAGGCAAAGTACACCCACCAAGCCACACCCACCAAACTGGTGGTAAAACAATTTCAATCCCACCACTAGATCAAATCCATTCTCTCTTTTCATTTTCTAATAGTTTTTGATGCATATTTTCTGATCTCTGTCCATCTCTCACTTCCTTCCCACCAATATGGAAACGCTCTCAACTGATAAGTTGAAGACGAGTTTAATCACCATTTGAAATGCACCCTTGGGGTGAAATTTCCCACTCCCAGATCTACACATAACCACAAAAATAATGTGCAATAACTCAAGCTTACCCCAGCTTATTTTTAAATCCAATGTAATTTGTACAAGCTAATATAAACACAAAACAAAAGTATAAACTGTGTCTGAGATATAGATATCTAGTATAAAGATCAATGTCAAAGATATAGTGTCACTATTATCTTGGGTACTGAGTTGTAACTTAAGATTCATCAACTTCACAAACAAAAATATTGCTTCAAGCACATTTGCCAAGTACTTGAAGAATTTTTTTTTAAAAAGAACCCAATGAGCAGGCCCTGACACGTTCTTGTTTTTTATTTTTCTTGGGTCATTGTTTTCAGTAAGGAACCACCATTGGAATTTTCTGCCAAAATAATGTATAAGTTAAGTCTCTTGCCACACTATCCATTCATTTCTTCATTTTAAAAAAAACCTTTGCCTCACCTATGATATTTTTAGATTTTTTTCAGGGAAACAAGAAACCCCAAAACCTTTAATTTAGTTCCTAAGTTTATCCTTAGGGAAGGGAGAGAGGAGGGGAGAGGAGGGGAAAGGAGAGGAGGTGACAATGGTTTGACATTGTTTATTGCTTCCTGCAGCCTGTTGTTTCCAATTGTATTGAGCCTACAGTATCCAAAAACTGTATCAGGCTGATATTATTGCATAAAACATTTAGGATTTTGCTACCAATCAGTAAGTCAGTTAAAGAAAGGTTGTTTTTTTAACATCCTAACATATCTTAAATTGTAAGATTTTGTTGTAGGAAATTGAATATAATTATCCTACATATAATTTCCAAAAAAAGTAGTTGTCTGGTGATTTAGAATCAATAATATTAATTAGCCTGATCATAAATTAATTTCTTTTTTCTGAATTTCCTTGATTTTGTTTTTTGCTTTGATAGTAGATTACTTTCTGCTGCCTACAAAACTGCCTTTCAGCTGGTTTAATTTCTCCCAATATAATATTGCATTCACTGTTTTTTCAGGAAGATATTATGTTTTGTTTCTAGAATTATTTTTTACTTTATTATACTCTCTATAATCTGCCTTTTAGCTCCAAATCAGAAAAGATACAAAAATTATCCTTTATATGTAATATGCATCTTTAATTTGTATTGATTTATTGCAGTGAATTATGAGATCTATCAAGAAATTTTGCTGAATTAAATTTTCAAGAAAGACAAAAAATGTTGACAATATAAAACATGATAGTTAAAAGCAACACATGATCAGAATGCACTTTTAGTAACTTTTTCATAGTAGAAACTTAAAAAACCATCAGGAACTAACATTTTTTTAAAAATCTAAGAGTATTTAAGTATAAATACCAGCCATTAAGAACTTAAGAGGCAGGATTTAATTATTTTCTCATCTACTTCCAGAATAGATAGAATCACTCCTCGGTCACTGAATTTTTAAGGTAGAAGTTTCCCATTGGATTCTCTGTTCTATATCTCTAAAATGGCTTTTCTGTCTTCTACTATACCTAACACAGACTCACCATCCATATATTCAAGGCTCTCTCCCTTCCATTTCTATATTCTTATAGCCCAACATAGATGTTTCCTAAGTCTGCTCAACTAAGCTTAACCATTCAAAGAATTTCTACTATCCTTAAATATCTTCCCTGCTTGCCTCTCATGATGAATTTTTCTTATATCTGGGTTACAAAATTCCAGATGACCACAAAATGTTAGCGTAGGATGATTTTGTATCTCTCTTGTTGTCCAGGCATATTTTCCTGTCTATCATTACATGCCATGTAATTAATTTTAGACTAGATGTTAGACCATTCTTCAGCTGATATTACTTTTATTTCCTTAAGAATAATCCAAAATGCTTTATTTCCTTAAGAATAATCCAAAATGTAGACAGGAGCAAGAGGTGCTCCTGTCTACAAATAATGTTTGGGTTTACAATTAAATACTTCAGTGTTAGGAATGTGATATTACCCTTATCTGTTCCTGAAGGCAGAACACAGACTAAGAAAGAGGGATACAGGACAGCTGCTTACTATAAAAAACACTGTGGTTCATTCTTTCATTAAAAAAATCATTCTCGCTACAAGCAACTGTCCCAATATGTCCATTGTAAATATATTCCTACTATGGGATAGCAAGTTACTCATCAAGGACACTTTATAAATCATAAACTCTTCAAGCAACTCAAATATAATCACCAGAAAATGTGGATTCTAATTCAATCTTTTTAATAAAATATTTTTGTTTGTTGCTTGTTTCTTATCTCATTGTCAATATACTAGAAATATAAGTATTATTCATACTATTATTACCAATCAACAGGTCACAAATTACCTTCATTTTCAACAATTACTAAAGCAAATTAACCATTGAGAATTACAAGTTTGTTTATATTTTCCATGGCTTTACCATAAATCAAAAAGGGCATTAAAACCTCTGTAAATATTGAAGAACAGGACAAAAAACATGAGGGACCAGAATATAAATATTATCTTTCTTCTCTCTCCAGCATATGTCAAAATCTGTCTGTACATGAATGTTGTGCATTTGGAATATGAAGGTCTAGACAACAGTTTTTGGGGAAAAGGGCAAGTCCCAGCTCTGTTGTAAAAGCCAACATCTCCTCTTTCATTTTCTTCACAGGCATAATGTTTGGAAAACTCAGTGAGTAGAAATTATTCCACTTTCCTTCCGTCTGAAGCAAAAAGCAATGATTTATGTTACAGATGGGAAATAAATGTGTCTGCACATTTTACATTTTATGCTACATCTAGAATACATTGTGTATGTCCTCTTAAAGCAGATGTGTGTTCCAGAGTAAGTCTTAAATGGTACAATTGTATATTTAATACTTTTATGAAAAAAGCAAAATATATAGGAGGTTAGAATTGTCTGAAAAATGAATATCACAGCCAGCTCTGTCCTCTGCTACTATATCTGTGGTGCAATAGACAGAGAGAGAGAGAAAATATGGTTTAATAGCTGCAAAAAAACTGTAATCTATGAATATTCCAGACTAGATTTTAAATCCTCTCAGGGGATAATTATGGAAGGGGAAAGGCTAGTTTAGTTTCTACCACAAACTAAAGCCATGTCTCAAAATGTCCATACTGGCCCAGAAGAGAAAGTATACAAGGTGATATGTAACTAAGCTAGAATTTCCTGAACAGATTTCTTTTAAAATATTATGTCTTTTAAAATATTATGTCATTTTCTCAATAAAGAGCTTAACTCTTAAATGAAGCAATTTGCTTCCTAGGTGTAATCATTTAAAGCAATTTGACAAAAATTAAACTTTTTTTGCAGTGTTATTTATAAAATTCTTCATCTACAGTATATGACTAGCTACCAATGTAAATTTGTTTGTTTGTTTTTATATCACACCTTTATTATTTTTATAAATAATAAAAGCATGAAGATATATAATATTCTTTTCTCCTATTTTGTCCAGATCTTTCAACTCTGGGAAAAATGTCCAAATAAAATCAGAAATACAGAGATTTTTTGACAGTGCTAATTATCTATATCTATTTTATTTGATCTTTGAAAACAGGTGTAGGAGATAAATATTTTGTATTTCCTGCCTTAGATTTACTAAAAACGTAACTTTCTGATTCTTGTCAGTGTTTTCAATTTCCAAAGCTTCAAGAGTTCTTGGGACTTACAAGAGCAGGTTTTTAAGTTGTTGTTCTAATGAAATTAAAATATTACAGAAAAGCATTTTGGAAATCATATGCTCTAGGATAGGGGTGTCAAATTCAGGTCATCATGGCTGCATTATGCGACATGTCAGGACTTTTTCCCCCCTCGCTAAATTGGGTGTGGGCATGGCCAGCATCTGACACATTGCCCGTGGGCTGGGGGTGGACTGGGAGCCCTGCTCTAAGACATGTATGGCAGGTAAGTTACTAGGCATATTTGGTATTTCCATTTAGTCCAAGAAAAGTAGTCAACATTCTAAAGCTTAATGCTACAGCACATGATTTGTATGTAAAAAACACTCAATATTCTCAGTTATCCAACAATTCCAAGTTATTATTTATATTATGTTATAAAGATGTTGAGATTTGTAATGGAATCAATCATGACTTAAGTTCAGTCCAGAAACAGGGTTACTGGCAACAGGTTAATTTTACTAATTGTACTAATTATATGGGTTTATTAATATCTATGTTAAACTATTCAATTTCAGGGTTGTTCATAGACTTGCCTAATATTTCAGAGCATTGCTCAAATATTTCTCTCACTTAATTATAAGTAATATGTTTGCAAACTCTAAGTAGGAATCTTAGTTAACTCTACCTAGTACTAATATTGTTGCAAGCACAAAAACAAAAATCATCATATTTTTATTTTTAGGTTCCTCATATTTATTTATTCCAGAGATATATCCTACTTTTACTCTAGGAATTTAAGCTGCTATACATACCACTCCTTAATTTCTCCAATTTTTTAATTTCTCTCTATGAAAATTACCAAAGCAGCTTCCATTATTAAAACGGATTTGGTGCTCTTCAATTGATTAATTAATCAATTGAATTTATATTGCCACCTATTCGCCCATAGTGACACGAGGTGGCTTATAGAATGTAAAACCATATTTAAAATAAAAAATGATTAAAACTAACAAAAAGAATCAAATAAATTAATAAAGTACAATAGAACAAAATTCAGGGGGGGAATAAATAAACAAACAAACAAACAAATAAATAAAAAATAAATCACCCCCCAATTCCCATCCCCTGCTACGATGATGGCAGATCACACGAGCCATTTGATGGGCTCCATCCCGCTCTGGGTTCCCCAGGCCCGCTGGCAGAACCAGGTCTTCAATGCCTTCCAGAAGAATATTAGAGAGGAGGCCATTCTAATATCTGGGGGAATGATATTCCAGAGAGAGGGAGCCACCATGGAGAAGGCCCTCCTTCTGGGTTCCACCAAGTGTATCTCCCTCAGGGGTGGGACCCATAATATTTCCTGCCTCCAAGTTCTAATGGGTCGGGTAGATGTAACCAACAAGAGACGTTCCCTCAGATAACCTGGTCCCAAGCCATGAAGGGTTTTAAAGGTAACAACCAGCACCATGAATTGCACCTGGAAGCAAATTGACAACCAATGCAGCTCCCTCAGGAGAGATGAAATATGTGCACATCAGGGTCTGCACAAAACCATATGGGCCATTGCGTTTTGCACCAACTGGAGCTTTTAGATATTCTTCAAGGACAGCCCCATGTAGAGTGCATTGCAATTATCAAGACATGGGCATGAGTGACTGTGAATAGGGATCATTGGTCCAGGAAAAGGCGTAACTGGTGCACCACTCGCACTTGCACAAAGGCCCTCCTGGCCATGACTGCCACTTGCTCTTTGAGCAGGAGTCATGAGTCCCCCTAGATTATGCACAGGGTCTGTATGGGGTAGTGCCACCCCATCCAAGACCAAAGGTGGCAATTCTCCCTGAGCCAACAGGGCAGTGCCACCCCAAACCCAGAGCCACTCAGCCTTGCAAGGGTTTAGTTTCAACCTGTTGCTCCCCATCCAGTCCCTAACAGCCTCCTGGCACTGCGAGGGAGACTGAGGACATGGCAACACTTAATTCACCAGGGGTCAAGACATACAGTTGAGTATCATCAACATATTGGTGATACCTCAGTCCATGGTGACGGATGATCTCATCCAGAGGATTCATATAAATGTTGAACAGAAGCAGAGAGAGTACCAAGCCTTGCGGAACCCTGTTAAGGGCTGGATCTCTCCTCTCCTATCAAGACTGACTGAGAATGACCACAGACAAAGGAAGTGAACCAGGACAGCATAAGGCCTCCCATTCACATCCCCCAAAGCTGCCCCAGGAGAATCCCAGGGTCAATGGTATCGAAAGCCACCAAGAGATCAAGTAGAGCAAGGATGGATGTACTATCACCATCCCACTACCACTTTCATCCAATGCTGTTTCTGTCCGAAATCCAGGCCTGAATCCTGACTGGTAGAGGTCGAGATAATCTGTTTCATCCAGAAACCTCTGGAACTGCTACGCGACCACCTTCTCAACAACCTTCCCCAGAAAGGGACAATTGGAGGTAGGTCAGAAATTATCCAACTGGTGGAGTCTAGTAATGGCTTCTTAAGAAGAGAGTGGACCACAGCCTCCTTAAAATGCTGGGGCACTGTGCCCTCCTATAGGGAAGCATTAATCACAACCAGAGTCCACCCACCTGTCACCTCCTGGGAAGCTTTCACAAGCCAGGAGGGACATGGGTCTAAAACACAGGTGCTTACGCGCATACTCCCTAGAATCCTGTCTACTTCCTCAGGAGCAACAGGGTCAAACCATTCCCAGATAACAGGGCAAGAACCTGCCTCAGGAGCTTCCATCGGACCAGCAACCATGCCGCATCTAACTGGGAATGAAGTTGAGCGATTTTGTCTTCCAGAAAATCTGCAAATTCCTCAGTGCGCCCCTTCAATTTCCTCCTTCCCTAGGAAGAAACACCTTAAAGAGGATCACTGGGCGATTATCTGTAGATGCAATTAGTGTGGAGAAGCATTTACACTCTGCCACACAAATCACCACAAGGTAGGCCTTAGTAGCAGCTCTTACCCATGTTCGATTGAGTTCACCTTTTCAATTAATACTACGTTTAGTATTTTGTTTTAGAAAAGGTAACATATTTCACCAGGAAATATATTATGGTGCATGTTTGTGAAATTACCTTGCTCTGAAGATTCATGATTTCTTTTGCAAACACACTATCAATTGTAGCAGGCATTTGCTGGTAGAATGAGTTAGAAAGTTCTTTCTTAGCCTTTGCTTTGTACTTTGCCTAGAGGGCAAGAGAAAAATAAAGTAACAATTATTTTTTGCAGATTAAGATGATATTCAATGAAAAACTTTTACATTAAATCTTTCACAAATTAGATATAAAAATAGATGTTTACCTAGCTTGAACCCAGAATAAAAGCAGGTTTGATTCTGCAGTTCCCATTCCACTACTAAAGGATTTATCTGTTTAGATAAGTATTTTTCAGCCTTCTTAATATTCTGGATTTCAGTTCCAAGAATTCCCCAGCCAATCATGCTGGCTGGAGAATTCTGGGAGTTGAGTCCAGACATTTTAAAATTTCCAAGGCTAACAAACAGTGGTTTAGTAAATTAGACTTTCCTAGATGTTGGGGCAGGCCAAATTGGGTGAGTTTCTGTTTTTAAAAGCTACATTTTCATAATGGAGAAATATTGAATAAAATGAAACCAATTTGTCTCCTAATTTCCAAAATTACCTTTGAGAACAATTTCATCATTTCAATCAGCCTTCACAACATGAGCTTTTCTTAAAGTTACTTACCTAATCAATCAATACCATATGTTAAAACCTCAGCTAAGTAAGGTCCATCTAAATTGTTTGAACTGAGTGGGTTGCACAACAAATTTTTAAATCAGCAGATAGCAGATTTTTAAGCTTAACATTTTAATGCAGTTAAAAACAAAATATTAATTAACTACATCATTTCTTTGAAAAGCTTTTTTAAAAAATCAGAGTAAATTAATTACATTTTTATTATTTTTATTCTTTAAATGTATTAAACCATGATTTAATCGAGCTAGGGAACTTCAGTTGTTAAATAGAAATGAAAATACTTAAAAAAAACACAGATGACTAAATTTTCTAATAATGTCACTCTTTCCATCCTTATCAGGTCATGCCCTGAACACATTTTTTTAATTCTGTATTAACTCTGGTCTCAGTGATGGCATCATGTCATAAAGGAAAATTAACTAAATAGTATCATAATGTAATTCCATGAACTGTGTGACCCCTGACAGGCTGGAACTTAATAAGGAGGGGGCATAATGAAAGAAATATGAGAAGAGAGAAAAAGGGTCTGCATTCTTGTGATAAGTGCTACTTTGTAAATCATAGAACCATCAATATAACAAATGAAGGTTGCAAATGTTCTGCCTTACATCAGAAATAAGAGCAGATATATTTTTCATATGTGTCAGCTGTGCAGTATCAGGCACATGTGTCCACCTGCCTTTTGATTTTTCATATTCTTCTTTATAATGGACCTAAAGAGGGTTTAAAAAAATGGGTTAAAAGAAGGAACAGAGAATAAAAGGAATTTCTATTTTGACAGGGCCAAAGAAGAAAAAAGGAATATAACCTTGATTAATAGTTCCTGATGAAAATGAAAGAGATGAATGTTTAATATAATTTAATTTTAACTAAAAAATTTTTTTGCATAGCTACAAGATCACACAAGTTTAGAACAGTTAACAGATTTTAAATGACAGGAAAACTCATACAGACAGAAGCTATGAAGTATTCATAATTATGGCCATTTTATCTGTATCACTGAAACATTTTGCTGTAGTGGAAGTGCTGTAAGGGGATTACCCTAATATTAAATCATGCATATGATTACTGTAATGTATCCCTTGAAAGCAGGACACCTAACTTCATGGGATTCTCTTTCGTTGTTTACCATTTTTATTAGCAAACTGAAAGTCACAAATCTAGAATAAAAATATGATTTGTATCAAATAGAGCAGTGCACTAACAGATGGAATATTTATTGAAGGAATTAATCTCCCACTGCAATTGACACATATTTAAAACCACTAGATGATTACTACTGTAATGTTAGCTGAGTATGGACTGCTGGTATTTCTCTTTCTGCAATGTAAGAAATAAATCCTCTATTTTCTTTGCAGCACTGTCCGCAGCCGGTGACAAGAGGGTTCAAACTGGAAGACAATATTGCAACACTACAACTCAAGCCTCACCCTTTCAATGTATGCATTAGCATATTGTTTAGATATACACAAGAGATGAAGCTTGTGCTACCACACTGCTTTCATCATTTTGCCATAAGTAGCAAGATCCTGCAAATGTGACAACTGTCCTTGAGGTACAATGCATTAGTATTACTATTCAATGACTATCTATTAATTGCAGTGCTCCCAGGATAGTGGAAGAAAATCAAGGCACATTTTAAATTCATGTCTAGATTAGTGATGAACTTTAAAGAAACATATTTTGCCCCGTGGCTTAAATCTACCTCATTCAGAGAATAAGATTCAAAGCTTGAGCCAATGCTAGAAAAAAAAGAGGGTAAGCAAGGACATCTTAACATTTTTGTGACTGCCATTTAGATTGCGTTGGCTGAAATCCAACAGAGTTCCATTAAGCCAGAGCAAAGAGCTTTGGAAAAATCAATGGCCTATAGGCAGAAAGCTCTTGATGAAAGGTGATTATTTGTTTCATATTATCCATACTAGTCCTGACAAGCTCCAATTCTTTATAAGCAATAAAAGCAATAACGACAATCACTGTCCTACCAGGCTCACTAAAGTACAGAATTATTTGAAGCATTTGGCATTGAAATTCATGGAACATTAAAAAGGGAAAGGAAGAAAGTAAATGCTACAAGCATTAAGTTGCTTTTAGTACATTTTTATCAAGAAAAGTCAGCATTATTATTCCTCTATTACCATTAGCAGCTCTGTAATTCAGATTAAAGATTATAATTCAGATTATGTCTTCCAAACCACAGTAATGCCACGCTGACATGTTACAATGACACAGACAAGCTCTGTCTTTTCATAGCTGTGATACGACACTGTATGCATGTTTTATCACTTGTCACTCTTGCTTCTCTCCTGCATGCACCTACAAGTAGTCCTCAATTTATAATCACAATTGAACTGTAATTTCTGCCATGTTGGTACAATCATAAAGCAAGTCATTATGTGACTAGACCCAATTTTATGACCACTTTTATCATGATTGTTAAGTGAATCCAGTTTCCCCAACTGACTTTGCGTTATTGGAAGCCAGTTGGGAAAGTCACAAATTCACATGGCCACAAGAACATTGTAAATGTGAGCCAGTTGCCAAGCACCCAAATTGCAAATACATGATCAACAAAGGATTGTGTAACAATTTCAAACCAACATTAAATGAATAATTATAAATCAAGGATTACTTGTGTAGCTCTGACTCTAGCTAAATCAGTATGCACAAAGCTTCGATATAATCGATATAAACCAATTCTCTTTTTTACAAAGGTAAATTTTACAAACAACTCAAAATAGCAAAAAGCCAAATCAATATGACCTAAACGAAACATAAGAATACCTGACAAGAATATTTTATAATTTGCTACAGCATTTCCAATTAATTAAGTAACAACAAAATAATCACTCAATAAAACATAAGAAAATTAAATTTAAATTAAACAAATTAGACAAAAAGAATGGAAGGAATGAATTAATCACGTAATTCTGCAATATTCATTTAAGGAAAATTATGAAAGAATTTGCATTATTTTAAAATTTATCCAAATAGTTTACTAAAACTTTTAAAACTGACAAGAACAAAGGGTTTTTTTGACTATGTCTAAAGTAAATACATCAAATGGAAGGTTACAGTACAATGACAATTTAAAATTTTAGATTTTTTTAATGGTATAATCCAGAAAAACAATTAAATAACAATACTACTGGACAGAAGGAGATAATATGCAAAGATCTGAAAATCAGAGTTCTGAGAACACCTAGGGGTATTTTAAATATCTTCCTCTTCAGACAAAAAGATCCCAATATACCAATATGTTCTGAATAATCCTTTATTAGCTATGATAGGGTAGAGTAGGATAGGATAGGAGAAAGGGGAAGATTAAAAGGGTACGTCCAATTCCAGAATATTAGGGAATAATACAGATATTTTGAATAATACATTCAAAATACATACCTTGCCCCTTGAATCTTTTTAGTTTCCTAAATAGACACCTGTAAGTCCACTAACATGCCTATTGTCCCTGTCACGTTTTAATTTCTTTTCATTTTGCTTGTCTGAATTTGTAATTTTCATTGACGAATAAATAAAATACATAAAACATTTTCAATATCAATTTTGCTCATATTTTCTTAGAGTAACAAATATATTTGAAGCAATATTTACATATCTAAATATCTGAAGGAATAGAAATGTTATGTAATGAATTAAACTAGCACTGAAAATCTTACTTACATTACTTATTAACTCTGTGCATTTTCTTGCAAGTTCCATGTTTTTATCCTCAATGACAGGTTTAAGGAACACCTATGGGGAAAACATTTCCAAAAGTGAGTACAAATTATAAAATAAACCTTTTCACACTTTACAGAACAGATCACAGCCACCTACTGTTGCATCCTCCTCCTCTTCATCCTCTACCATTTCCTCATTTTCATTCTTTGTAGATTCCTGAAAAGTCATTCTCATTTTTTGTTCTTTTAGAAAGATGGCAAGGTTCAGTAATAAAGCAGCTTATGTCCTGTACCACTTGAATTCCTTGTGTCACTATGGTCTCATGGCTAGCTTCATCTCACTGAGGGTTTCTTCCTTATTTAGACAATTCTTGAAAGTCTTATCTGAACAATGTACTATGAAGTGAAAAGCATCAGATGTCCTTCGGGTAAACATGCTTGCAAAACAGCCTTCCCTAGCTTGATGTCCTTGAAATGTATAGACTCATGAACTACACTTCCTATAATTCCAAATAAGCAGAGCGAAAGATCATATTTGGCATGACCTCTTTAAAACAAAAATTAATTTTTGGAATTAGTTTAAGTGTCTGAAGATCTGCTAAATGAAGTATGAGCTACATAAGTTATGAAACTTATTAACATGAATAAAAATGAATTATTAAAATAAGATGGTTTACAAATAATTTGCTGGAGTTGGTACAGGTGGTTTTTGACCACACAATTGAGCCCAAAATTTCCATTGCTAAGTGAAGTTGTTAAGTGAATTTTGCCCCATTTTACAACCTTTTTTTGCTATGGTTGTTAAGTGAATCATTGTAGTTGTTATGTTAATAATATGTTGTTAAGTGAATCTGGCTTCCCCATTGACTTTGAGTTTGTCAGAAGGTTGTAAAAAGGGATCACATAACCCTGAGGACACTGCAACTGTCATAAATATGAGTCAGCCCCGCCTCCCCCAAGCAACTGAATTTTGATCCCATGACCTTGGGAATGTTGCAATGGTCATAAGTGTGAAAAACAGTCATAAATCACTTTTTTCAGATGTTGTAACTTTGAACAGTCACTAAATGAACTGTTGTAAGTCAGGGAATATCTATAATCAAAGCTAAATCTTTAGAGAAGTTTATTAAAGAACTGTAAACTTCTCCATTACAGAGAAGAGTTGCATATAAACAAGCATTACTTTACAAATATTTCTACAAGTTTCCAAAAACTTGAATTGATCTGTATAAAAGATTACTGTAGCAAAATCTTCTTTACATCATGACTAATTTTCCTGTGAACATATAACTTATTCAGTTTTAATTAAGTCAGTTTGATCATCTTAACAAGCAAAGTGATTCTACAAAAGGATACCTATATTCTTCTTAAAGATATTATAATAATTCATAGAATGCAAGTTTTTCATAATAACTTTGGTTCTGGAACTGCGACATCAGTTCAAAATGCTAGAGTATTCTGCTCTGCTACCATAATTAAAATATAAGCTCCATTGCTCTCTCTCTCATTCTCATTAAACTGCTTAAGTCTGCTTATATTTCTTTGAGATTGGCCTTCAGAATGAAGACATTATTCCAGAAAAGACTCAGTATATGTTAGTGTTTTAAGAGTGCATTAACTTCTTTCTATCCATCTTATACATTCTTCATCTCATCTCATGATAAATTCAGCACAGTTTGCATGTTCATATGTTAGTCATTACATTAATTCATGGCAGCACTGGATATTGTTGAAGTAAATGATAGACAATGAACTGAAAAATGTAATAGCTAGCAATAATTAGGCAAGAATTTAGGCTCCCTACTAAGAATAATACTCAATAAGGAAACATGGTTACCTTGACAACTAGGACAAGATGATAAATATGGCTCTTTTCTTCAGCCTCCTGAAAACATAATCTTATCTACGCCTTGTCAAATATATATTTTATAATGTCTATATGACATTCCAAAAGGCAACATTGCTGCAACTCTACCATACAGTTAAGATATTAAATGGTTTGAACTGTTATTAGAAGTTGGCAACAAAAAAAAAAGTGGTGCCTAGAAACTATTTCTGTAACTTTTGTTTTTCATCTCCCACTTAGCATGTTCTGTTTTGAAAGTCTTTAATCAAAGTGCATGAAGCATTAGATTTTACAGCTGACAAACATCTGTTCAGGAATATATTTGGTGTTAGCTTAAGATATTGTAACCAGTATATCAAGGTATTATAAAAAGTATTCTGAGCATATTTTTTTCTGAAAACGGTGCTCCAAAATTCCTAAAAAGATTAAAGCTAAAGGGAATTTAACTCCCCCTCCATTTTTTAAACGGGCCATTTTTCTTTCAGACTTTTATTCCAATGTCTCATGAAACTTTATAGCAGGATGTGTAGCAAAGGCATTTTCGATGAGGGAGGAAGTATAAGGGGGTCAAAAAAATTGGCACCCACCCTGAAGTTCAAAGAAGAGTTAGAATCATAAGGATATGTCTATCACTGGTTTACATAATTATAACTGAAAGAAAGGTTTAAATTAGACTTAAAAATTTATATCCAAAGAATTTTGGATATAATATAATGCTTGAACAAAGGGAAAACCTGTGGACAAAGGGTTTAAAATTTATATTAAATTGTAATTTAAAATCATGTACTGTTTAACATCCAATAAATTGTCAAAGATATATAAATTTCATAAACTTCAAATGTGTCTTGAAAATGTAAATGTAAAGAAGGAACTTTTTGTTATCTTTGGTGGATTTGTGATAAAGCAATACTGGGGTAAGATTCATAATTTTATACAGACGATTCTTAAAGTGAATATAAAAATCAAACCAGAGACTTTCATTTCAATCTCAATGGACAGAACTTGAAAAAAAAATCTGGAACATTGCTGTTATATATGTAGCAAGAATACTTTCTGCAGAAAGATAAAAATGTACTTTAACACCCACAATGAATGGCTTGAAAAACTGATAGAACTAGCACTAGCACTAACACAAATTAAGTGTTTTAATCGAGAAAGAACTTTCGAACTTTGTTTCTATTTGGAAACCACTGTTGTGTTTTGTGCTTGAGCTGGAAAAAATGAAACTTGGATTTTGCTGATTAGATAAGTTTGTTGTTACAGAAATAGCTAGTACATTTTAAATATGTAAAAGTAAAAAGTTGAGACTGTAATGTTACCATTTTAATCTACTTTGCTAAAAAGAGTTGGAAGCCAATGTTCTTTTTTTTTTTACCCTACATTCCTTTGTGCTGAAATAGTGTTTGATATTTTTGTCTAGCAAACAAAAAAATAAATAAAAGAATAAAAAAGAATAAAAACATAAATACAATTTGGAGTGACATGGTACTCCTGATGCTTTTTAAAACTTATTTAACAATGAAAACTGAAATTAAACTTTGTAAAAGATTTCACATGTGTATCCAGTTCCTATCGTTAAGCAGAAGGTAAAAGTTGAGGATTTTTTTAGTACTATAATATAAAAAAGAAAAGGGAATTTGAAACCCTATAATAAATAATTATTTATGGTATGAACACAATATATAATAAATCATGTTTGGGCTACAGAAAACCGTGCTAAAAGCGAAGGGGGGTTAAAAAGCAATTTCTTAGAAGGCAGCATCATTTTTTTAAAGTGCAGCATTGTAATTATCTCAATTTTCAAGAACTATAATAATTATAGTGCTAAAAATGCATTATTTAAAATAAAATGTATAGGGTTCTCTAAGCTAGAACAGAAAAACCAAAAATATTTTCAGAAATCTATAAAAAAAGAGAAATATTACATTTACATTTCAAAATATAAAAAATAAGTGGAATAAATTTAATCATGGTAAACTGGGAGCAGCTTTCAAGGGGTAGATGAGAAGTTCAGAAGAGAAAAAAACAACTAACCTCAGTAACAGACTTTTTGATTACTGAGAATTGAATGAATAGGAAGACAAAAGCCTAGTATGAATACAAAGTTATTATGGTAAGATTAAAAATAAGGAGGAACAAATAAAAAATAAAAAATGCAATCCAAAATAATACAAACTGAAAAGATAAGTAGAATATATTTTTTTCAAACCAAAAATTTATTTATTAATGTTAACATAGTCAGACTGTCACCAGAAAGTTAATTTCCAGGAAACCTAAGGGCAAAACTGGGATTAGCTTTTAGGCTTTTATCACTGTGATGATCTCATAGCTTGCCTTTCAGGGTTTTTTTCTAAAACCTAATGCAGTGGCTACTTGAAACTGTAATACCAAGCTTTGTGGATTTTTCTAGACCAAAAAGAGAGTTTTAAGTCTCAGCACAAGCCTGAAGATAAAAACCTGTAAATCAAAATGGCAGGGTCTTTGCCAGAAGACAGAAAAGGGAAATGTCAAATCTTATTTCTTCATAGCTTTTACAAGGTGAAACTTATTTCCTAACATTTAAATCTAGCATTCATTAATCTTGCTAAAAATAATAAATTAGCTACCAAGCAGTTCCATATTTAATATTCCCTAACTGAAACTAGAAATTCAAGTTACAAATTATTTGAGAACAAAATAATTTGGATTTTTTTCTTATAACCCATCTTCCATTTTTTAAATTTAATTAATGTCCAAATGCTGAATGGTTTTAAGGGAACAATGATATTTTCAATATTAAACCACTTTTTTTTGTAAATTTTATTTGAGTTTTCACCAAAAAAAATACAAATAAAACATCTTTTTTGAAAGTAGCGTAATCCCGGGTTACATTTCTTCGTACAGACACAAATTCAATTTCATGCTCATTTTTATGTTCTATTCCATATCTTATTACTGTTTTACATTTTCTGCATAGGTTCTCCCCTCTTTTAATTTTCTCAGTTATAGTTTAATTATCTCATCTCAATTCAAATCATTATATTTATATTTTTTGTCTGTCCTGTTTCAATTATCTATTATCTTTTCTCATTAAACAAAGTTTCTCCTGTAGTTACTGATTGGAGTATGACGCCTTTATATCTTTTAAGTTTATCCATTTAACTCTTATTTAGGCTTCAATATATACCCTAAAGTTATAACATTCAATATAATACATAACTTCCATTCGGATTCTGCTTGGTACATTC